AAATATATTTTGTGCAGTTCATGGTACAGTTTACTATAAAGGGAAGCATGTAATTGGCTCTTTAATTAATAAACTGGAGAAACATTATCCTGAAGTTAACAGAGAAGCAATTCGCTTATTTTGCAGAGGTAGTTGCATTGTGACTGTACAAGAAAGCATATATAATATGTTTTTGATTTGAAGTATTTATAGATGACATTTTAGAAGTTAATAGCGTAAAGCATATTTCAAATGAGAACTAATTTTGTTAAGTTATTGTTAAAGTTATTTTTATTGTATCCTGTGTTATTATTGATTCGATGTTGTGCTAGCTTAGCATTCTAGATAAAATATAATAATATAAAATTAAAGTAATTGACATAAGAAGACCTGCCTCCTTAACCCCCACTTTTGAAAAATTAAATAATTTTTTTTTTAGGTACTGTGAGTAAAGTTGTTTGTCTAAATTAAAATAACAATCTTACATACATTTATTTAAATGTAATATTGATGTAAGCCTAAGTTACAAAATTATTAAAAAATATATATGTTATTATATTGAATCGGGAATATACCAATGTAAAATTTACAATTAGGCTGAAACTCAGATTAGCAGAAATTTTGAAAACTATGCCAATTTAAGGTTGCTTTTTGATTAATTTTAAAAAACTGTTATTATAGTTATCTTAGAAGCAGTAGTAGAGTTCTTTTAATTAAATCTCATAAAGAAATGATTAGAAATAAACAGGCATTTAAAAACAATCCCTGCAAATTAAAAAAAAGGAACTTTATGTTAAGAGTAGCGTATTTTATTTGTTATTTTAAAATTTGTTAAATTAAATTTTTTAATGTTCAGTGTAAAACGCATACTACAGTAACATTGTCTCTTCTAAATGATAACTGTCTTTCACACACAGCTCATTTTAAACGCTGATTCTTCAAATTTAAAACACTAATTTCTATGTTGTCAATTGCATCTCCGCGTTCAGTGTCATTATGGCTACGTCATCACTCCCCGCTGCCTGTTTCAGGGGAAAAAGCTCTATGAGCTAGCCCTTCTCTTTTAAGTCCTGGTATTAGCTATTTGTCATTGATCGCTTCTCGACTTTTTTTTCTCCGCTGTGTAAAATTTTCGTTTCATTTATGGATGCACATGTAAATTTTTCGTTTCGTTTATTGAAATATTTTTTATTTATGTACGCAAGAGAATTTCACTATGAAATTTCTCAATATAAATAGTGATATTATACAATTAGAAGAAGGTGTCTGGAATGCATTTAGGTGGAATTGGATTGAACGGAGAGATGGTAACGGGGATACCATCGGCACATGGTGCAAGAAAATAAATGTTGCTGGACAAGCATATTGTGTTTTTTGTAACTCACTGCTGAAGTATGGTGGGGAAGGATTCAAGGCTTTCACAAATCATTCTAAAACTGTGACGCACATAAAATATTCAAAGTGCATTAGACATTCAATGACTTTAAGTAATTATGCTAATTCAAAAAATACTGATGACTTACTGGAAACTGATGCTCGGCCATTGGATATAGTGACAAGAAAAGCACGCCCAATAACTTCGGTTTATCGCCGAGAATTCTCTTTCTTTCAATGTAGCTCCCAATTTAATTGAAATCTGCAAACAGTTGAGCCGCGATCAGACGGCACTAAACTCGTTGGAAATGTCCAGGACTACTGCATTGTTATAAGATGAAATATGGGCTCGCAAAAACTATTAAGGAAAATATCATTAAAACTTTAAAGGAGACTCCATTTTTCTCTAAATTTGGATGAAAGTACTAGCAATGCTCAAGAAAGTATATTGGCAATATTGGTGCAGTTTTATGACAACAATCAAAATGAAGTTGTAGTTCATCATTTTGCATCTCTAAAGATGGAATCTTGCAATTCAGAAGCTGTTTTTAAAGCAGTTGTTAATACTATTGAAGATAATAATATTCCATGGGCAAACTTAGTGTATTAATGGACTCATGTAACACCATGCGTGGAAAAAAAAAAGGGTGTTGAAACCAGACTACGATCAAACAAAGCACCCACTTATTAGATATTGATGGTGACACATGTCACACAGCTAAAACTGTGCAAAAAAATTTGCTTCATGTTTTGATAGATACTTAGAAGATTTGTTTGATGACATCTATTTTGATATGAAAAGCTGCAGTAAAAGAGAAAATTTTTTCAAAATCTGTGAATCCCTCCCTTTCCATTAAAAAACTTAAGCCCTTGAAGAGACCAGACCATAGGTGGGTGTACATTTTATGTGTTTTAGAAAGAATCAAAGATCTGTGGGATGCTCTTATTGCATTTTATTTTCACTACTTGGATAAAACTGATAAAGGGGATTATTTTTCTTATGTTGAAACTGTATACAATAAAAGAAATATTTCTGCAGCTCAGAAAAAATTGTTGAAGGGGTGTATTCTTGCTTGCATTCCCAACAACTCACAAAGGATGCTTTAGCTCGGAAAAAAAGAATACTAAATGGGTTATTTGTTATGCAAAACAAAACTTTATTGCATATGGCATTATATTCAGCAGTATTACCAGAGTTCAACACATATATTAAATTATTTGAAACAAAAAAAAAAAAAAAAAACCAATGCTTCATTTAATACATTCCAGTATTTATAAATTGATGGCAAAATTTTTTCTCTTTTTTTATGAAGCCAGAAAATATAGAGTGCACATCTTATAATGATTTATTAAAGGTTGATGTCACAAATCCAGAATTCCATCTACCTAGCAAAGTAATATTTACTGGTGCAGAAGCTTCCACTCTCCTGAAGAAATTATCAAAAAATCATCCAATAGCAAAAGAATTCCAAATTTCTCTGATGAAAGCTTATACTAATACAGCACAGCATATGAAACAGAAATTACCCCTTAAAAATTCATATCTAATTAGTTTTACAGCATTAGATCCAGAGCTAAGAGGTAAAACCAGTACAATATTAGCTTTTGAAAAATTATCATCTTTTATGTCCCATATTTTTAGTGATAATGAAAAGTCAAAAGTAGAAGCTGAAATAAGGTTATACCAGAGTGATATTGATATCACCAAAGAAATGCTCTACACATCTGATGAAAGTGGAAATCAAGTCAAGTGTACAATTGATAAATATTGGTCTAAAGTTTTTAATTTAAAAGATGATTTCACAAATGATTATAAGTATCCTACATTGGCTAAATTGGTCAAAGCCTGCCTTAGCTGCTTCCATGGCCCATTAGTGGAAAGTGCATTCAACTTAATGGATACACTTGTCACTGACTATAGAACCTCTCTTAAGATTGATTCCCTAGATGCAGTGCAGACTATTAAATATGATTTAATGGCTTCTAAAGAAACCTCATGTGAAAAATATGGCTCAAAAAATCCAATGACTGATCCAATTCACAAAGATCTCTTACTGAATATGAACAGAAGTTGGAAAACATATCAAGAGGACTTAAAAACATGTATTTCAGATGAGTCACCTATAAAAGTCTCTGAAAAACCTTCTACATTAGCAGAAAAGCAAACTGCTTCTACCTCTGCATGTGCAGTTCTCGAGGAAATTTCTTCAACTGTAAATGAGGAAAATAAAAGTCAACCTTCCTGCAATTATGAAGTTCACCACAAAAGAAAGACAAGCCCACAAACATCAGAAAATAAAAAAAGCAGCAGAAATTAGATAATTTTTTTTAAAGAATTAATTCAGGTAATTTAAAATATTTACATAAAATGTAGTAGTTTATATGTTTGAAAATTTATGGTTATTAATTTTGCAAAAAAAGTAATTCATTGAACTTTTATAATTAGGTCATTCAATACTTCATAATTGTAATTTTTCATTTCTCTCCCCCCCCTTTCTCGAAACTCCAAAATGTCGGTAGTAAGTCCGTAAAAGTTTCAGGGGATTTTTTGGGGTCCTACAAACACCCCTGGCTATATATAAATCTAATGTATATCCTAAGTTGCACTTTTGGAACTTGTACTGTATATGCTCCAAGAAGCAAGAATTTCATGGCATTTTATTATGAGTTGTATTTATATCTTACTTGTTGGATATTTCCATCTTATAGTAATATAGGAGTTAGTTAATGTTTATCAAAAAAATAACTTAAATGCAATTTAGGGTTAGGAAAAATTCTTTTAGAATACTTCGAAGTTGAGGAATATTTTGATTGAATATATATATTCAATATGTAAACTTTACAGAACATAAATTATACTATATAGTATAATTTATGTTCTGTAAAGTTTTCCAAAGCTCATTCTTTTATCTTTCTTTCACTCATATAAACAAGTACTCTTATAAAATTTAAAATTTTTGAATTGCTGTGCAAATCTTTTATATAGAATAAAAGACCTTTAAAATAAGTTAAATGTAACTACAAAACGAATTAATTCTAAAGGTAGCATTTTTATTTTCATTATTATATTTGATAAAGAGTGTAACTATGCATGAAAACGTAATTGTTTAAAGAATTTCAGCAGTTTCTAATTTTGGGAATTGTTATTTGAAAGCATTTTGTGCTTGAAGAGACCGTTGAAGGAATTGAGAAGTAAGAATGGCGAATAAAAAAGATTATTATTGATTGTAGTTTTCTTCATCATTCATTGTTATGCTTGTGTATAATTTAACTATGCATAATGGTCTTATATGATTTTATAAAGAATTTTAATATAAATTTGAAATTAACAAAATGAGTAAAAGTATTCACATAAGTAAACAGTAAATAAAACTAAATCCATTACTGTGATTTTTTCATTATATATATTACATTTTATACATTTTATTTATTACATTATATTACTGCAGAAAAATTGCATGGAATATTATAAAGAAATCAATGTATATTTTAATTAATTTTTTAAAGTTATGCATTTTTTTTAACTAAGTGAAGCTGTTTCATGAAAATGGTACTATATTGTTCATGTTTTATATATATGTACGTATATGTATATACTTAATATTTAAGCTTTATAACTTATTGACAAACTATGCATTATTTTTCAGGAAAACTGAAGAATGTAATATTGATATCTCTGAAACTACTGAAACTGAAAAACACATACTTCCAAAGCAAACCAAAGAAAGAAAAAAGCAGCATGTTTCTGATCCCATCAAACATCAAGTACCAGATTGGTAATAAAAATGTAGTGTTTTTATAAAAATAATTCATTAAAAGTGTATTTTGTATTTAAATTAATACATAGTTAGTCTGTAGTTTACTTGATTGCAATTATAATTTCTTTATTCTTTTAGTATTTTATAAATGCTTTATGTAAGATGCATAAATGAGCCTTCTCATTACCTGGCAACCTCTGTTCTGCAAGTTGGCCACTAATTTGTTTCCCGTGTTCTTGCTGGGGAGTAGTCTTATTTTCCATGCCTTTGGGGTGTTCTGTAGTTTCTTCATGGCATTCACCACCACATTTCCAGCACTTTATGGGAGGTTCTTGTCACTCCTACTCTGTATCAAGGCATTGACTTGTCTGGTTTGGATGAGCAGCATTTGATGATAGTCTGATGAAACTTATTTTATCAATAGAAACAATTCAGAGTTTGGAAACTTTCTGCAGAAATAATTATACAGGTGTTCACAGTATCATGGAGTACAAGCAGTGGGTACACTTCAGAACTACTAAGAACATTAAACATAATGCAATGTGAAGCACATCTAAAAGGCGAAGCTTTCAATACTCTCAAAACTAACAGCTCACAACAACTGAGAGCAGATGCTCTCTCTCTGGTCTTATACAGGTTTCACCCTGCTATCGAGATATTTCTAGTACTTGTCAAAATTACTGGAAGTTACTGCTTAGTACATATGTGCTCAAAATTACTGCTTAGTACATATGTGGGCCAAATTACTGCTTAGTACATATGTGGGCCAAATTACGATTACAGCTACACAGAACATCAATTACGGTTATTCAGTTACTATGCCTAGTGTGGTGATTCAGGGACTGAAACCAAATATCACCAAATGATTCCCAAGTTTGGCGACTTTTGCTATATCTTGCAAAATTAGAGTGATAGCCAATTATTCTGTGTTAAATAGATTTGCCCTGTATTCTTACCTTTCATTGCTTTAGATTTTTATGTTCATACAAAAGAAATACAACAATTTCAAATACAATTGCAGTAAAATCACCTATCTGTGTACGGAATTCGTAGCAATAACATATCGACTTACCTTCCGTGCAGCCTCGTGGAGTTCTCACTTGTTTGTAGATAGTTCTAAAAGTGTTGCTATTCTAGCAAATTTTTCAGAATTGGGTAATCTTTAATTTATCTTTCATATTTAATTAATCTAAAGTTCTTAAACAAAGTGAATGTTAAGCAATTCATGCTCTCAGTAATTTAAATATTCATTTTATTTTTAATAGTATATGTAATTGATATAAATCAAAATGCATTTAATTTGTATTTTGCCCAACTCATAAATTTTACAAACATTTGCATTCGTGTTATAATTTATAATTTCAAATAAGAAAGAAACATATAATGCCATATATTATGCATCTGGTGCAGAATCATGTGGTTTTTAAGATTTGCCTCAAATATGGCTGCCTTAACAAACCTGCATTAACTGTATGCAACCAAGAAGCTCAAATATCATAATAACTGAAATTTAAATTATTAAATATTATTATTATATTATATTCAATTAACTAAATACAGCAAGCTCTGGATTAACTAGCTTCTGGATGAACTGGGCGTTATTCAAAAAAAGATTGGTTATTGTGGAATGGTGGAAAAAAAAAATTAGCAGCACAAATGATCAGAATAAACAAAATATCTCTTGGAAATACAGGAAGAAGAAAATGTGTGGGATGACAGTAGTGATACTGAATATTAACATATGGGATACTTTTATCCATAACAACATGTAATTAAATTGTACAGAATTTGGGTTATAGAAACATGGTCATATCATCCATTAAAATAAATTGCCAAATCATAAAATTAAATTAAGTGTACTGTTTTTAATGTTCTGTTGTCCATAGACTTTTGTCAGAATACAAGGCAGTATAAATAAAAGCAAGGATCTCTCTGTTTTGAATTGTGTTCTTTCTCCTTTTGAATGCTAGTGTAAATTATATACCAAATAAATTTAGTCTCCGAATCAAATTGCTGGAAAATTGTTAATAGTATTTTATGGGATGGTTTAATTTTCATGAATCAAATAATCCTGAAGTATGTCAGAGTTATTATTATTAGTCCAAAGGGACTTTGTCCCTGAAGGACTATTGTTTTCGTTTTGCGATTTTGCGTTGAATCATTATAAATGTCCGTTTCACTTTTCAAACTGTTGCCACCAAATGCTCACCACTGAGTCCTGCATTATATTTGAAGAAATTAAATAATGAAAAAGCTGCATAAATGTATGTATATTTCTCGCATTGTCATAAAACAACGGTACATAGAGCCATCGAATTTTGAATGACATAATCCTCGTATGAAAATGGTCATGTGGAAGACCAAATTTGAAATTTGGAATTTGTTTTATTATCGATTTTATATTTTGTAAAACTTTAACGAAGTTTTGAGTAACAGACTCAATGATTTGAAAGCAAGCAATGACAACACTCTGTAGGAAAAAAAACCTTTTTATCTTCAACGCGTGGAACCGTGTATCGGAAATTCTAAAGGTGTGCTCAATTTAAAATTATTTTGCGACATTGCTATTGAACTGAATTTTATGGTTTAAGTTCAAAGAATTATGATATTTAATAAATAAAGGTAACACTCAGAACGTTAAAAGAAAACCCTTTGGGCGTAATTTAAAATCTAAAACCTTTCAGTAATTTTTTTTTTTTTTTTTTTTTTTTTTTTTTTTTAAGATTTTTCCTCTTTCCTGGGTTCCCCCCCCCCTGCTATTTTAACTGCCATGGTTTTGGGTTAACTGTGTACATCATCTTGGTTAATTGGGAATCTACTGTATTTAACTGATTTATTTAGCAATTTCAGGTGACACTTTTAGAACATAATAAATTTATTATTAGTTCCTTCTTTCAGTGCTAATTTTTTTTTAATTTATTTTTCAGTGATTCTATTCGCAAGCAGTTGAACAAGAAAACATTTATTGAAGAAACTGGTTTATCTTTTGAAAGAGCTTACCGACTTGATCCCAAATGTGATTATGAAAACTTAAATTTTGATTGTTTTGAAAGAAAGAATATAGCTAAATACAAAATGAAATTTGGAGTTCCATTTGGTCTGAGCTTAGAGGAATTTGCTCAATGGCCACAACCCATGCAAGTAAAAAAGGATGTTCTGTTTCGTTATTTTGGCAAAAAAGCTTTAAAACTGTTTAACAAAAGTGGTCCACCTGAGGTGATTAGAGGAAAAGAATTACCATCTTTTATCAGTGGAGCTTTAGATTTTATTCCTATTTCAACAGTGTCTAGAGAAGAAGTTAGCTTGTTAAATGATACAAAAGTAGTATTTGATGGTATATCTGTTGACTGGAAAGTTCAGTCTAGTGATAAATATACAAATGCTGTGTTAAAAAATGAGCAAGCTATTGAATCCTCTGTAGAAAGTGATATACGAAATAAAACAATCTATTTCAATAAAAAATTATTGAAGTCGCCCAATGATGTACAATTATGGCTTGATTTTGTTGAGTTTCAAGATGAGGTGTGCCATGCTGATAGAAAATCTGAAAGCGCATATAATGAATCTGCCATATTTGAGAAGAAAATATCTATTTTTGACAAAGCTCTAAAATACAATCCAAAATCTGTAGAATTACACATTGCTAAATTAAATTTGTGTCGAAAAGTATGGAAAATTGATAAACTTATTTCATTATGGGATGATTTAATCTTCATGAATCCAAATAATCCTGAAGTATGGCAGAGTTATTTGTTTTTTGTTTTGACAAATTTAGCATACTTTAATACTCCTCGCATTGTTAAATTGTACAGTAAATGTCTGAGGACGTTATCAAACTTGAATGAAGGTATAATTCAATCACACGAAGCTCCACCTAATTTAACTCTTTTTATGCTAGGTATGTTTCTTTTCTTTTCCTTTTCTTTATGCAGATTTGTTGCATTGAAAAAATATTGCATGTCTTAATAATGAGGTATTGTGTACAAATGGTGTTATTTGTTCTATAAATTCTTTGAACTTTGTTGTCATATTTGTGGTTTTTCTGATCATGTTCAAGTGTTTATACATTTTATTAATTATTAAAACTTCAATTAAAAGTAATATCTATTCAGTATCCAGTTATTGAAAAGTGAATTTCAGAAGAATAAATTAAATTTAATATATTTTTTTATAAAATGTTGGATTTTAACCAAATTTTATGTAGTAATTCATAATGAGTATGTTTTACCATTGTCATAGTGTAAATATTGAATTCATATTTAAGATTAATTTATATATGTTTTATAAATATTTATATATATATTATATATATAATATTTATTCATATTTTCAACTTAATAATTAATGAAGTTCATGTCTAAAAAACATTTGAAATTATTTTTACCATTTTTCTGGTTTGCATTGAAAGTTATATATGTTTTCACTCTATATAGCATTGTAATTTATACAAATTTATTAGTAGTAGTGTGTAGTGTAATTTTTCTGGTTTTAAAATGGTTTATAAATTTGTATTTAATTCATATTGCATAGAAGTTTTGAAAAATAAATTCCTTTAAATGCTAGATGAGCATAGCTAAGTTAAGTATAATATGTTCTAATGATAAATTTAAACAAATTTAAATTTAAATTTTAATAAACATGTATAAAAGTAAAAAAGCAAATTTAAAGTCAAAATTTTAAAAAAAAAAGCAAATTTAAAGCCAAAATAATTTTTAAAAAAAATGTGCAAACATATAAGATTTAATTCTCGAACTAATTTACAATAACATTCAAATTCAGAAGCATAAACAAATCAAGTGCAAAACCAATCCATGAAAATAAATTCACTAATTTAGCAAGTTAAAATTAATCCAAACAATTTTTTTTAAAAAAATGCATAAGTGAATGACTGTTGAGCAGGCAGGAGACAGACTTATCAAGGAGAAGTTGCCTCCAAACCTAACTCTCCAATCATTCAATTCGTGTTTCGTCATTCATGCAGGCAAGGGTAAAAGTCAAAACCAATTGAAATTATTATAGAATGTCCAAAAAGAAATACCAATAAAGTGGTACCCTTAGAAATTATGATATATAGTTTTGAATTTAAATACTATATCAGGGTCTGGCCCATAGTCAGGTAACCAGAAATTTGCAAAAGAGGTATCCAGTGATTAAGCATGTAACCATGTCTGGGTGGGGCTAGTGTAAAAACAAAAATGGGTGATGCCTAGTGTTCTAGTAGGTAAACTGTGCAAAAAAAGGGGATACAGTTCTATATCTCCTGTTCTACTGGGCTGATTGATGAAATTCAAAGTACGTTTTTCATGTCTCAAAAGCGTGACTTAGGATATATATTAGATTTGTATATAGCATTGTTCTAACGTACGTATTTTGATTCAAGATTGGACTTTTTCTCAAATGACATGGCATTTTTTTTCATGTTTCATTTCTATGATTCGAATTATGCCTAAATATTGAATTTTGAAAAATTTGGTGCAAAATTTACAGAGAAATTTAAAAATTTATCATGGCCTATTTTTTTCCAGTTTGCACCAAGAATAATTCACTTGTCGAACTTCTTAATTTACAGCAACTATTTTCCTTTCATTTTATTTCATTGTACGTGAGTGGAAAAAAATATCACGTTCATTACTTTCAAATAATTGTAACAAAGTGCGTAAACCACCACATTGGATGTTATTATCGCTTGTAACGAATATGCCAAATTTCAAATATGTAAATTTCTGGTATGTAAATTCACTTATATCTTAGAAAATTTTGAATAAAAACTCTAATTTTTTGCAGGTGTGCCTAGAAATGCATCATTTAAGATGATGTTAAAAATTTTATAGGTTATAATACAAAAATTTATTCAAAAAAAAAAAAAATGTTTTCGAAAAATTTATAAAAAATATTTTAAAATGCAAATTTTAAAAATAAATCATAAAAAAATGTGTGAATGATATTTGCAGAGTTACGGGAGACTCCCGATTTTCGACCGCTTTGGCTTAATACTTCGTTATATGAACAAAAAAAAGTGATTTTGGATGTCTAAAAGCAATTGAATTTTCTCTATATCATATCTAAAACAAAACCTTGGGAATCAGATGAGAATTTTTGCTTTGTGAGTGAGAGCATACGTATCCAGAAACGTCGTTCTCCAGTTCTCCAATGGGCATCGAGCTCCACTGGTGTCATCTGGCATATATTAGCCAATGAGCACAAAGCAAGTTCAAGGCTGTTATTTGGATGTTCTTTCATTACTTCGTTCATCTTGTCCTGAGTTGTGTGAGCACACGTGCCTTCGGGAAACAGTTTTAGAAATTATCATATTTTGTTGTCTGCGAGAAAGGTGAAATACTCATATACGTTTCAAAAATCATACACAGTTCACTTTCCTTCCATCATTCCTCAAGGAAATGTAATAAATTTGCGATGTGTACCGTCTGTCATTGCGATTTTTCGATTTCGCGTCGTGAAAGGACGGATGTTCTCAAACATGTGCGTACACAAAAGCACAAGGACAACGTGAGTTGTTTTAAAAAAAATCGAAAAATTAAATTTTTCTTCGCAAACAAAGGATAAAAAGTTAGTAATGCAGAATGTCTGTTCTCTGCCTTTTTAATGGAGCACAACCTGCCACTGAACTGCTGTATTCACGCTGCAGCTGTATTTAGAAGAATGTTTCCCGATAGTGAAATCGCTAATAGGAGTTGCAACTACAAAAGTAGTGGAAGAACTTTCAGAAGATGACAAAAATAAATTTTATCTTCATGTTAGAAGTTACTTCTGTCGAGTATGTGATTACATACCACATAAATTTCCAGTTAACGATGAAGTGATTTTGCATGCTAAAGTTGCTGATGCTTCTGCTCTAGCAAATGCATCTTTTTCTGATATAAAGTACTTTTTGGACAGATTTCCTGTGTTACTTCATTTAGTCATGAAAGATGATGATACTGATGCTGCCACTGATAAAAAAAAAATATTGCAGTCGCAATTTTGAAGTTTACAATTAGAAAACTTGGATGAAGTTATAAAATCAGCTAGGATTGACACCCAGTGGAGTTTAATTGGAAAACTGAAAGGTGCTGATGGAATTTGAAAATATAGTGAACTGTCTAGAATTATGTTGGTCATCTTGACAGTTCCCCATAGTAATGCAGAGTGTGAGAGGATTTTCAGCGTTGTTACAAAAACGAGGATTAAATTTAGATTTAATATTAGTGATGACACATTAGAAAAACATTTATTAGCAGAAGCAGGCCTACGTGGCAATTGCTATGAACAAAATGATGAAGTTTCTTTCTTAATGAAAGCAAAATCTGCCACTGTTCATAACATTTGTACGAAAACTGATTAAAGTATCTTGTTTTTGTTTTGTTTTGTTTGTTTTCATTAACGATGCAAGTAATAAAAATGTTTTTTATGTGTAAAGTATTTTTGTGTTGCTTGCATTTAAGAATTAGTAACTATTTAAAGTTAATTCATAATTAAAAACTATATTTTTATCATTTAAAAAGTCTTTTAACATTGAAAAATCTCCTGATTTTTGAGTGTCATAGGTTGGCAAGTATGTACTTGGATTGAGCCTAAATTTTGAATTCTTGAAGAAGAAATCGAGTTTAATAAAAAAAAGAGAGATTAATAAATATATATCAAATTCATTTAGTACTGAGGAGCTAAAATTTTGAAAGCTAATTGTTTAAAAACTACTTGTGCGATTTGTACAAAACTTGGAAGTTTGGCATAATTTGATCGTAAAATCAAAATATGGAAAAAAAATTGGCATGTCATTTCAGAAAAAGTCTGATTTTGTGTCAAAATGCCTATATTAGAACACTGCTATATATAAATCTAATACATATCCTAAGTCGGCTTTGAGAGCCATGAAAAATTCAAGTTGAAGTTCGTTAATCAGCTGAGTAGAACGGGAGATATAAAACTGTTCCCCCCCCCTGCAGTGTACTTTTATGTCTATGTATGGTTGTTTTTCTGTTGCGTACAGGAGCAGGATTCATGTATGAAAATCAAAGTCTGTGAAACGCTGATGAGCCATTTACCGAATTTTTGTGTCCAGCACTTTTCTTTCATGCAGTTCTGTACTGTATGCAGTTCTGTTCTGTTCTGTATTTTTATACTAACATATGAAGAAATGAGACTAGAATTGCAAGTAGAAATGGGATTTTGATCCGTATATGGGAACTCTAAATAACAGTTAAAAGCAGGGGGAAGAAATGAGAACTCCCATTCTTAATGATAGAGCAATAATTATCCCATCATCAGCAAAACTCAAATTTATCTTTCAATCCAATATAATAACTATGAAAACTAGAACTCGGGGAAACAAAGATAGCAGAATGAAATAATGCACTGTACATGTTGAACAACCGCACATATTGACAGCTGAATGTCATGTGCTCCATTATTCAGTGTCATTTCTTGGCTGTTTATTGGTATATTCAGCTCATTAACATTTATGAGGTACTGCCTATATTTTTTAAAAATTCTAAATAAATAAATATAGTCAAAAGTCATTAATTCGGACACCCATAATCCGGACATCAAAGCTAAAAACTTTCTACGCATGCGCCGCGTTGACACATGCGCATAGGCGTTTACGCATGCGCGTAAGACCTTTTATGTCTGCGCATGTGCGTGTGCGCAAGTGCAGAATACGTTTTCGCGTGAGCGTTTTATGTATAACGGACGGTATAAGCTAAAATTATCTAATTATCTATTTCAGTTAATGTTGATGATTGCGTTGTTCCTTAATTTTTGAATTGGATCCGGCTTATTATTTTTTTGCAGCCTGTAAGAGCAATACTATAAAAGTGAACTTGAACTTTCGATTATGTCGAATAGAATTTCCAATGAGCTCCCAAAGGATTGTACAAAACGAAAGTATGTTTCGATGTCCATCAAACAAAAAGTGGAATTGCTGCAAAAAATGGATAAAGACATGGAGAATGTGACAGAGAGGTTAGTGAAAATGAAAAAATTTCGATTGACGAGTTAGTCGGTATTCTCGGCACAGCAGTTAACGGGACTTGAACAGCGGAACTTTGTAACTGAACAAGAAATTGTGTCTGTTTATAGAATTAAAGAGAAAGTATTATCACATAAAATGAAGCAACTTAAACAACTTACATTGAAAGAAATGTTTAATAAAGTAAAAAAATAAATATTAAGCTTTTTTTTTTTTTTTTTTTTTTTTTGTGTAAATTTTGATACCCTTTAGATCATAATTGTTCTTTATTTCATAAATTACGGTTTCATATTTTTAATTTTAGCATGCCATCTTACGAGATTTAAACTGATGATCTATAATCCGGAAAAATCGATAATCCGGAATCGCCGAAGTCCCGATTAACGACTTTTGACTGTATATAAATAAAACTATAAATTAGCATGTCATGTATCTGGCTGCAGTCAGCCAATCAGCTGCCTCTCTTGCAGTAAGAATCCGGCAAGTGAGACAGACGAGAGTTTTCTGGTGAACGTGTGGTAGGGCATTTACGCCTGAGTTGGAATTTCAAATTTAGCCAGCGGGACTGATTTAATTTGTAAGGTATTGAACACCTGTGTTTCATTGGAGTTATTTTCTTAAATCATATAATATCAATATCATGTAAATATTTGTACATAAAATTTGTGTTTCTGCATACTAAAATTGTTAAATTTACAATCATGTATTTTGCTGGCAAACATGACAAAGCATATAATGATATACTGCTTCTAAGTTAAAAACAGAAAAGTAATGTACAGTTACAGTACAGATCTTAGATCTTATAGTACAGATCTCGGTTAAAACAGTAAGGTAATGTGAAGATACAGTAAAATAGTTCCTTTATCTCAGTAGAAGGCTTCGCAGAAACCAGAAACAACATTTGGGGGGGGGAGGAATTAGAAGCTAGCTGTATTGATTAGCAGCTGTGTCAGAACAGAGCAATCGCTGAATGTTGTGGAAACAGTTGTCAAGCACAAGATTAATGATAAGGCAGAAGATTTCCAGTCCCTGTGATTTATGAAAAACTATAACCAATCTCAACAGATGTACAAATCATTCATGCTACGTATGTGCCCTGCTGAACCCGAGGAGTAAGTTAAGAAGTAAGCAGAAATTCAAAAGATTTGCAAAATCAGTGCAGCTTATACTGTATGCAAGGCAATATATGTAGTTTTTATTTGGTCTAAAAACATAACAAACTTGAAAGGAATTATTTAGGTAAGTTCATATAATCTCTGTAACATTATTTGAACTCATGTAATAATATTTAAATTGTAAATTAATTTTTTTTTTTTTTTAAATTCAATTTTTAAGAAAAATTCTTAGAACATTCTGTTAATTTTACTGTAAGTTATAATTTCAGCTCCAAGTATTTGATGTAAGTAGTTATAAAAATTAAATGCACTTTTATTAATTTAAAAAAATTATCTTGCTGTTTCAACTTAGAAGCAGTATATCATTATACACTTATTTATGGTTTTATTTATACACTTATTTATTTTTTTTTTATTTATACACTTATTTATCATTTAGACTGCTTCAAATTATAAATGTGGAAAGCAATTATTTAAAAAAAATTGTTGCTGGAAATATTTTTATAAATTATAAACTTTAAAAAATATTTGACATAATATATTCGAAACAGATATGGCATCAATAATTTTTTACCATTTGTTTATATAGAGTCATTGTTCCATTCTAAAAGTATTTTCAGAATACAATCAAAAGTCTTTAATTCGGACTCGTTGGGACTTCGGCGATTCCGGATTATCGGTTTTTTCAGATTATAGATCATCAGTTTAAATCTGGTAAGATGGCATGCAGAAATTATAAAATTAAAAATATAAAACCGTAATTTATGAAATAAAGAGCAATTATGATCTAAAGGGTATCAAAATTTACAAAAAAAAAAAAGCTTTATATTTATTTGTTTACTTTATTAAACGTTTCTTTCAACGCGCGCATGCATAAAGCGTACATTACGCATAGTCGAAATTAGAAAATTGCAACCAGAAAACTATTTGATGTGTATTCGTGATATTTATAATGATGAGGAATTTGATTTAAATCATATCAAAGACAGAGTACATCGAGATGAAATACTACATTTAGTAAGGAATTATAAGCCGAATAAAAAAATAAAAACACCTGCCCTGAAGATAAGGATAGTGCTGACAGATCAACTTCCAGTTCGTTGCGTGCCTCTTCGTTCCCTCCCCCCCCCCCGGTTCATGTACAAATGACTTCAAACATGCGGCATAAATTCGAAACTAACTCTCCTACTAAGAACTCTTAAAACTGCTGCTTAAGTACCGTTTTCAACTCACTTAGATTTGCATACACATCATTAAAATTTACATTCTGACAGGAACTGGAATCAGAAGGGGAAGGAAAGTTTATAAAACTAGAAATAATTGGTTAAAATAAAACAAGGTCTTTACAAGTTGAATGTGAGATGTATAGAACTGTCCCCTTTTTTTTGGTGCAGAATGTACATGCACTGCCAGTACTGGTGCAAATGAAACTTGACATATCCGTTGTCTTTTCAGTTAAAATTCAAGCTTCACCAGGGATAATTAAGAAAAGATTCTGCAGTTTTTGGAAACTAAAATAGCATTCATAGAGTTGTTTACACTTATTGAACTTTGTGTTTTGCTTTGAAATTATATTCAGAGTTATCAAATGTGGTTCATAAAAATTATATTAATTATTCAATAATATCACAAAGTTATGATTGATATAAAAATGCAATAAATGTCAGACTACTGTTGCCAATTAATTATCCATGCAGCAAGTGCCCTTCAGTCTCAATCTGTTTGGTATAAACATTGCATGGGTTTAGCATCGAAATCTTGCATCAGATACTGAAATACATGTTTAAAATTTTCTCAGTGTTTTTATCTACCATTTGCGTGGATTGTAGTTCTCAATTCATCTCCAGATTTTTTTAAAAAATAAATATCACATTACATAATCATTATGGCTAATAGAGATTAGAATTTTCTAAAACTCATAGTCGCAGGAAATCTAAACTAATTTCTAAACTGTTATAAGTTCACAGACAAAACATTCGGAAGAAAAAATGCATATTATCTTCTTCATTACTGCTAGAAAAGAAAATTATAAAAGCTTTTTGAATTTCCTGTGACATTATTCTCTGAGAATTTTTTTTTAAATTAAAAAACTATGAAAGAACTGTATGTTAACATAGTTCAGTAGCTGAGAAATGCAGTAAACATCCACAAAAATGAACAGAGTAGGCTGTCCTTCACTAACTACCCTAGTATATTATTCATGTTGAATAAACAATATCAGCAAATTTTTTATGTACTTCATTGCTTGAAGTAAGACCTGAAAAGGCAATAGTTAAAATAAGTAAAGTAAAGCTGAAAAGGCAACAGTTCAAAATCTCTGAGGGCATCATTACTGTGACTATATTTTTTGAAGAGAAATTAACCCTCTGAGTGGTGCAGGATTTTAGATCTGTCATGAAAACCAGTATTCAAACAGCATTCATTAATTGAATTTGTATAATTACTTACTTTAGTCTCTATTTTCATAAACTTGCGTTAAGATGATATATGCATTATTAAATATCTTAAATTATAAGCTAATATATGCCAAGTAACAAAACTTCTCATGATCGAATGAATCCGGTTATGGTGCTCAGAGGGTTAAAGAATAGATTTCAGGTGCTTCAGTCATATTTTATAAATGTCGGCTAATATGTGTAGTTTGTGATTTTATTTGAAAACGGATAGCAGTGTGGATACCACTTATAAAAATTATAAGCATGTTTGGTTTTCTTTAATGCTGTCTGTAAGTATAGTTTACCTAAGTAAAGAACGAATGATCTGTTCATTTAAATTTCTACTAGAATGATTGGTGCAAATTTAGCAGCATTTCCACCAACTTTGATAGCTGGATTTCATTAACTGATGAGATGGTTTAATTTTCTGACAGAGGTGATTTCTTTGAAAAATAGGAGTTAATGCCCCCCCCCTCAAGAAATAAACAGATTCTGGAAATTTTTTAAAGCTATTTTTGTACTATATTAAAAAGAAGCTTCTATTTTCATTAACTTATTAAATTTCATTGTACGTTTCCATTGAATTATGTTAAAGTAAATTATTGTTTATTTTAATGACTTTCATATTTTCTTCAGATATTTTCAGCCAGTTGTGTTTTGCTCTTAGAAGTTGTGGTTATTCTGAAAGAGCTATAGCTACTTTTCAAGCTCTTATTGAATTTAATTTCTTTTGTGATCCTTCAACTCGACTACTTTCTGTATCGGAAAAAATCACTTGCTTTGAACCATTCTGGGACAGTGGTGCTGCTCGTATTGGTGAAGATGAAGCTATTGGATGGGCTGCAACTGTTTCGAAAGCCAAAATTGTGTCAAACAAAATAGTTTCAGAATCAGGTATCATTTATTAATTTTTTCAATATTTTGTATATTTTGTGCATCAAATTTTCATAACAGATAGTTAAAGTTAGTAGTGAAGAATTAAATTTTCAATGCATTATTTTATATTAAAATTTCATAAAATTCGTATCATTTAAAAGATTCTTGCTGTATCTTAGTACCATGTTAAGTTTCTTACATTAGAATTATTTCATTCTTTGACCCTTCCTTGATATAACTTTTTTTGATTTTAATAATCAAAAAATACTTATATTGTTAAAAAGTGCATGTTGTTAACTATGGAGTATGGTTGATTGAAAGGCTGTGTAATAATTTTCAGCCTCTACTCCATTCCTTGTTCTGTGAAATATAAAATATGTCATTCAGTTATATATTGGGTTACATGAGTTACCTTCAGTATTAGAAAGATGGTAGAAATCTGCTGTAAAACTGAAAACAAACTTTTTTAAAATGGGTATGCTGTTTTCTGTATTAACATTTTTTGTATTTTTTTTTTTTTACAACTGTAATTTTTTAATGAATTATACTGCTTTCTGGGTTTTTCCATAACCCAAACAGCAGTATACTTAATTTTATATCAGTATGGAATGCTTTTGTTGCTGTTAAGTTACAGCAGTATGGTATGCTTTACTTGCTTTTGTTTTAAAATTTTCTCTCCCTCTTTTTTTAAAAATTCAGTTGGCATTAATGCATTTTGTGATGTATTTTTTCATCATTTGATTTTCAGGAGAATTTGAATTAAACTTTCACTACATTGTGTTATTTTTGTATTGTATTTGCTCTGTGTGTATATGAGTTTACTTTCTATATATTTTCTTTTTCATTTTAGATTTAAATAGTTTTGAAGATGATATATTATACGAAAAATTGCCACTTGGACAAACATGGTTAAAATTTGAAAGACTAAGAGAAGTTCATCATTGGTTGCCATGGAGACCAAATCCTGATTTTGATCAAACTGATGATGATGTTGATGATATGGAAAGAACTGTTTCTTTTGATGATGTTTCTAGATTTCTTTTTAACATTACAGATGAAAAAGATAAATTTTTATTGCTAGTCAAATTTCTAGAATTTTTAGGCTTCAGCACTCATATGTTATTTTGCTCTGAATCTTCTGTGAGCAAAAATTGTTTTCAAGTAGAAGTTAAAAATTTTGAAACTATCTCCGAGATATTAAGTGAATCAGTTTTTAGTAACCAGACCTCAAATCCACTTTCTTTTCCTAGAAGTGAATGGACACAAGATAAAATTAATTTCATTAATAATATTTTTTCCCTGATCATGGATAAGTTTTCATCTCACTATCAAACACTGCTTTCACGGATGTGGTTGAAGTTTCGTAAAATTATTATTACAAATGAAAATAGTGAAAATTATGACAGAGATATTTCTGACCTTAAAAAGTTTGCAAAGTCTATGCTAAAGAAAAATGAGAATCGAAATTCTTTACTGTTATGGTCTGAATATATTGAGATTGAATTGCTGAGTAAATTAAAATCTAATGCTAAAAACACTTTTGAAACTTTGTTGGTGTCTAGCAGTGCAGCAATTTCAGAAGAAAGCTCAATGTTTAAGGAAGTATGGTATTTTATTCGTTCTTATATAGATTTAAATATTGGTTTACGAAATCACATCTTTAAGAAAAAAGAATTCTGCCAAGATGAATTGCTGTGGATTTTAACACATGTTGGATCTAAAGAAACTTTTGTCCCATACTTGAATCAAACTGTTAAACCGACTTCAGTTCTTAGAGCTGTTTCAGGATTTAAGCAGTTTTTAGACCAAGAGTTAAGTTCCTTGAGAAATTTAGATCCTGCCCTATGTTATTGCTTAGATCCTCGTCCATATTTAGTGTTGGACTGTATAAAATGCTTTGCTTTTCTGCAATATTTTACTCAAGGTATTGATGCTGCTTTACAGATATTTAAGAACTATTCAGTATTTCTAGAGAAGAAAATAAGTGTATCTCTGAAAAGGTATTTTTTTCATTTGGTAAGAGTTCTAGTTTTGTTTCAGTTATTTTCTAATAAATAATTTATATTTCAAAACAATGTCATTTTTATTAATATATGTATATGATCTCTGTTTATTTTTTTCATTGTTTGTTAGTGTATAATTCTGTTTCATTCTCATTCGTATAAACATTTGCTCTTGAGGGAGGCAGAATTACATGTTAACAACTTCTCATTTTCTTCCAGCAAATTCCCATTAAAGTTTATTTTATGCTATACTTTCAATAATTCAGATAGTTTTATGAGTCAATAGGAATTCAAATTAATGAGAGTCTACTTTACTTGTTTCGCCTCCCTGCAACAGATTTTTTTTAGTTGATAATATTATTTCATTTGTATTTATGCTGTTTTCATATTACAGTTCAAAACTAGTAATTATTGAGCTGTTATAAAGAAATCTAATTAAATCTATAATGATATAAATAATAGAAGTAGAAAGTCACAGGATAATAAAAAGGACAGCCTGAAACACATAAATACGTAGCATATTCGGAAACTAAGTACCGTTTCATTCTAGCGCCATCGCAGCGCTGTGGTAGGCATCCCGCGCATGCGCACTAGTCTTTCTTGTTCACTGACTTTCAGTTGGCGCCATTTTGGTTGCTCTATATTGTGTTTTCAGTTTGCTGTGCGCATTCAAAATGTTTAAGACAATTAGTTCTCCCACTAACTGTGAGATTGGTGCCGTGATTAAATTTTTAAACGCGAGGAATGTTAAACCGGCCGAAATTTATCGTCAAGTGACAGAAGTTTATGGTGAATGTGCGATAAGTGATGGGAATGGTGAGAAAGTGGGTAAGAATGTTTAATGCAGGTCGAACAAATGTCCACGCCGAGGCTCGGAGTGGTCAGCCTTCTCTTGTCACCGATGATTTGGTAAGGAAAGTTGATGAAGCAATTCATGAGAACAGACGCTTCACAATGACAACTCTTTCAGAGGCATTTCCACAAATTTCCCGTACTGTTTTGTTTGAAATTGTGTCTGACCGCTTGAATTATCGCAAACTGTGTTCCCGATGGGTTCCAAAAATGCTCACTGATGCTCACAAAGCAAAGCAACTTGGTAGTGCCCTGACATTTCTCATGCGGTACAGTGATGAGGGAGAAAACTTTCTAAACCAAATTGTGACAGGTGGTGAAACTTGGGTGTGTCATTTCACACCAGAATCGAAACAACAATCGATGGAGTGGAGACACACTCATTCTCCGAAAAAACAAAAGTTCAAAGTGACAATGTCATCACAAAAAATCATGTGCACTGTCTTCTGGGATAGGAAAGGCGTTTTGCTTACTTAATTTTTTCCCAGAGGTGAAACCATTAATGCGGCACGATATTGTGAGACTTTAACAAAACTAAGGCGTGCCATTCAAAACAAACGAAGAGGAATGCTCAGTAAAGGAATTGTGTTGCTCCATGACAATGCTCGGCCCCATACTGCTGGTGTCACTCAATCGTTAATTCGACAGTTTCATTGGGAGCAGTTCGATCACCCGCCGTACAGCCCGGACATGGCACCGTCCGACTATGACTATCACTTGTTCCTGCACATGAAGCGCGAGCTTGGTGGCAAGCGCTTTGGATCTGACGATGACACGAAAAATGCTGTGGAGTCGTGGTTATCGAAACTGGTGGAAAGTTTCTTTGACGATGGTATACAAAAACTGGTCACCCGCTATGACAAGTGTTTGATCATTGGCGGAAACTATGTTGAAAAATAGTTTAAGACATGTATTTTCATGTAAAAATAAAATTGAATTCGAAAAAATTGTTTCACTTTTTTTTTTTTTTTTTTTCAAAACGGTACTTAGTTTCCGAATACACCTCGTAGAAGTTTTCATTTTTTTTCTTGTTCTCATTGTTGATATACAAACAGAATACATGTATAATGCATTTATTGCATTCACTGCAATAAATGCATTATACATAATGCAAAAAAGTGCATTTCCTATATCCATTGCAATGCAGATTTAATAATATTTTCATGCTTTGTGTAATCATATGTGTTATTAAAATTTGTCTTATTTAAATACTCATTTGAAATCAAGTCTGAGTTAAATCATTGATTTCTGCCATGATTTTGTAACTTTGTAATGTCAATTGGCTATTGTTTATGCTGCTTATTGTCTACATTAGCCACAGCATAATTGTATATGTAGTATCTGTTCAAAAATATTTGTCATAGGACATAATTATATATTTTCAAATATGCCCAAACATCTAAGCTAGTATCTGTATGTCAGATAAAAATATGTAAATATAAATTATAATTTAAATTAGCAGTAGCCCCTTGATGTTAATATAGATATTTCCCTTCTCTGTTCTGAAAATAGTAATACATTTCTCTGCCACCAGCAGCCGAGCGGTAAAGTTGCTGAAAACTTGTAGATCGGTCCAAGATTCGAATCACGTGAACAGGCTGGCTGTATGGGTGTTTTTCCCATGTGTAACGTGATATGAACCAGTTTGCCTTAGAAAGTCCTCCACATAGGCAACCCTCCCATTAGACAGATTGCCCTCGAGGCTACCAAACCATTTTCCTGCCCTGTATCATTTCAAGACTAATCTATGTCATATGACTTTCACATAATACTGGTGACATAAATGGAACTAAAACTCAAATAGCCAATAAAAATTTTACAGCATTATTAATTATCCCATTAAATGCATTGAAACCAAAGCTAACTCATTCTGAACACAAGGCTTTCTTGCTTTCTGCATATCGGTCTACATAGACTGCTGCTTATTGTGTATCTTCTTATCCCAAAGCTATCAAAAATGTAACTGTTCTGGAACAGCATGTTTAATGTGCCAAGTATTTTTGGCTGTAAATGTTTACTGAAATAAAGATGAATGTCATGGCTGCCAAATTGCTATTCATTATGGATCAGCATCTCAGTGTCTATGCAATAAACAGTCGTACATGTTTATTGCATTAATCTGCTTCATTAGTCGGGGTGTAAAGTTTGAAGGTCATTTTGGAATTATAATCAAGAAAGTATCATTTACTCACGGCCTTTCTAGAAAGTTTAGAGTTTGGGGGCTAAACTCTTGGTCACTTGGAAGGTCAAAAATCCAGTGCTTGTGATAGTTTATAATATATTTCATCATTTGATTAAAAAAACTCATTTAATAATTATTAGTGAAAAACATTATGTTTTTTACTAATAATTATTACTCAAATATTTCATTATCAAACTTCTAATGTATCATGATTTGATTTTCTTCTTCAATCTATTCTGAATATATTTCTTTACTTTATAGGCACATTTTAGAACAGTTTTGTGTTTTGCAAACTGAACTTCTGAATATTCATACGTGGAATTCCATATCTTCAATAAAGCCTTTGCAATCTTATTTGTATGAATCTATAAATACATACCCAAGTAATGCTGTGCTTCTGTACTACCTTGTGAAATTAAGGAATGCATCATCTGTAGTTGGGCCCACAAGGAGGTATTTATTTCATTTCTAGCATTAATTATAAAATATTTCGCATAAGAAATTATTTCAGAACTTTAATGTCATATTCAATTTTGAATAAATAAATTGTATTTGTAGAGAATAATATCTTTCTTTATCCACATTTTATGTATTATGTATTCAATATGCATTATTGGTTTTGTACAGGTTTTTTGCCAAATTGCTTAAAAATCAAAATAAATTTCAACCTGTGATATGGATTTTTGCCTTGGCATCGGAGCTTTCAATTTGTTACTCAGTTTTGTCACAAAAGAGTTTTGAAACTGATCAACTAAACACATTTGGTAAGCAGATATTATTAATTTTATGTGAAATAAATTAAAAATTGTATGTATCATTGATACTGTAAAAACAAAAGCACATAAAATTATTTCAAGATTGGTTTAAAAATATATCCCAATATTGCTTTTGAGTTTTTTTTTTTTTTTTTTTTTTTTTTTTTTTTTTAATATATATATATATATATAGAGAGAGAGAGAGAGAGAGAGTTAGTACCTCTGGATAGGAGATTTTTCAGGATAAAGGCTGGTATTAAAGTAAATTTTCGTGCCTGGATATGAGGAAAAATTGAGGTACAAGCCCAAGTGACAAGTTCACTAAATGGTGCTGCAAACAAAGCAAAAAGCAAACTCACTCGTTCAGTTCATGTGGTCACTTTGTTTAGACGCATCTCTATAATATTTTGTTCCCACTTTTTTGCATTCTTCATATGTTTATGCAGTTATTTTTCCATTATTATTAAGATATATTTATAATTATTATTAAGATGTATTTATGACAGTGGGTTCTAAGAAAGTGAGTAATGCGAAGAAGCAGGTGATGTTCTTAGAATAAAGGAGTGAAATCATTGATAAACATGAGCAAAGTGTGCTTATATTTAATCTGGCCAAGCAGTATGAGTGTAATACTTATAATATGTGTGATATTGAAGCAGGAGGAGATTATAATGCCACCCAAGGGCATTAAAACAATATCAAAGCAATGGACTTCTGTAAATGAAAAGATGTAGAGGCTGCTCTTGGTGCTGCTGAAGGAGAAGCAACTCAAAGAAGATACTGCGACTAAAGCAATCATCTGAGTGAAGGCGTTAGTTATATATGCCACTTTGCTGGAGATGACCTCAGGCTCTTCAAACAAAGGATCTGGAGAAACATTCAAGGCAAATCATGACTGTTTGAAAGGCAAACTGAGAATGAAACTATGCCTGAGAATGGAATTCAGCCCATTCTCAGGCATAGTGAAGCACCAAGCTTGGACATGAAGGCAGTGCAAGAATTCCTTGAAACTTTTACAACACTGATAGAAGCCAAAGGATACATACTCCAGCAAGTCTTAATTTGTAACAAGGCTCTTGTGGGAAAGGAAATCAAGAAGGATTTATATAATAGAAGAGGAGACAAAGGTACCAGGCTCCAAATCCATAAAAGTCAGGTTGATCCTCACATTGAGTGCAAATGCAAGTAGTGATTTCAAAGTAAACATGCTGCTCATATTCCATACAGAAAGTGGAGGGAAAACTCTAGGTATGGGTCACCAGGCAGTTCGTTGTGGATCAACCTAGTCTTTGGTTCTGCAGGTAAGAAATGTGTCTATCTTGAGAAAAATAACTTACTTTTGCAAGCCCTTTTTGTATTCAACAATACTGCTGGATAGCCACCGAATCTCAAAGAATACAAGTTTATCAAGGTTCTCTACCTTCTATGCAACACCACCTCTATGTTACAGCCCATCAGGTGATTTTATATTTGGGAAACTCTTCACTAAATACATGTTTCATTGTTGATTTTTGGTAGAACTTTTATAATATTGCAATAAGCCTAAGAAATGTTGATTGTACAAAAGGGGTTTTGAAGGCTTTAAGCCTGCATCTGTAGAGGAATTGCTAGAGGAGATTGTGTCCCTTGAAAAGGCTGTGATTGTGGATGAGGAAGATGTTAACAAACTTATTGAGGGTCACTCAGAAGAACTTAATACTAAGCAGTTAAATAAACTATAGATTGAGAAGCATAAAAAGATTTTGGAGGAAATTAATAACAAGGAGGTAGAAGAAGATGAGTGTGAACACTTGTTTCAGGAACACCAATTTCAGGATCAGTTCTTAAAGGGAGAGTGAAACTAACTTCCTTAAACAAATTTCTATTGAAATGCTATTAAAGTGAGGAAATAGTAGATAAAAAGGTAACAAAAACCAATAAAGAATGATGAAGGTACAATGTATGTCAGTGGACTACGGTAATGAAAATTTAAAAAATCAGTTTATCATTTATATGTCTGTATTAAATTTTATAAAGTTTTTATTGATTTTCTATATAATGTAGTGCATTTTTTATTATTTAAAAACATACAACAAAATTGATGTGGTCATTTGGAGGGCTGAAATGAATTAATGTCATTTAAATACATTTTAATGGGGTGTGTGTGTGTGATTATGGCAAAGCCTCGAGGGCTATCTGCCTAAGATGAGGGATGCCTTCGTGGAGGACTTTCTAAGGGAAACTGGCCCGTATACACGTTACACATGGGGAAAACCACGAAAACGCCCATGCAGCCAGCCCGTTCACGGGATTCAAACCTCGGACCGAATTACCAGTGTTCATTAATGGGGGGGGGAGCATTTTAGGATATGGGTAGGCATGGTTTTTGAGCTTGGTTACAGAATAAATTAAACTCATATGCTATTCAAGTGCTATTCTGATTTCAAATTTACTTCAAAGCAATCCTTTCTGTAGTACTAATTGTAGTTTAAAAAGGATTAGTGAAATGGAATAACATAACCTGTTTATGCGAATTATTATTTAAAATCATTTCTATTTTTAATATTGCTATTTTCCTGTATTTCTATTCTTTTTGAACTGTACTAAATTTTTTAAAGTAATTCATGAATTATATAGCTGAATCTCAATTTCTAACATAGCTGGTAATTTTTAAATGAATAATGTAAATTTCTAGTTCACCAACTATGATTCAGAGAACTGATTAGGAGTAAAATTATTCTCTTTCTTTAAATGTTACTTAAAATGTTTATTTACTTACTTGTGTTTTTTAGAAGGAAAAATCATACTATTTATTGCACAGTAATGGATATAATATATATGGGATAGAATTCAAATAGAATAATATACCATATAACATCATTACTGAAGCATAATTACTGAATAAGTTTTAATTCAAAATTAAAATGTATTCTTTAAGGTAATTAGAATCTTATAATTTTTGTGTTTTAACATTTGTGAGAGAATACAAATTTGTGTGTACACTTTATGTATATTTGTAGAAGAGTAAGATAGCATTTAATATGTGTTATTTTCCATTTTCTCTAGAAAATATTGTTTCTTGTTGGGGAATAAAATGGAAAATCCAAGGATTGTATGAAAAAGCTTTAGCATCTGAATCATATTGTTTTATTCCTGTTCTTTGGCGATCTTATCTAAAATATGAGGTAACTAATTTTAATACTTTTGTAGTAGTGTTTTATTAAATTTAACACTTTGTAGAAAATTTGGCAATCACTTGGAAATTAATGAATTTCTAAAATAACAGTCAAATCTCTTAAGTAAAACATGAATTTCAGTTATCATTCTCTACAGAAATGTGAGCAAAATATTGATAAAAGATTATAATTAATCATTGTAATTTTTCAATGAGAATATTAAATTATGTAAAACACATGTAGTTCTTGGTAGCAGAATGTTTTTCAACTTAAAGCATTGTTTCAAATTTATCAGTTTTAGTATTTTCTAGTGCAGAAGTGTATCAGTTTTTTTATGTAGTTGTATTTTGTGTTAATTTAATCATACTGACACCATCTTTAAATTATAAAATGCAATTCAGTACTATTAATTTTCTTTACATTTTTCATAAGCAAGCAATAATTTAAAATTTTGCATATTTATAATAAGCAGTATAATTATAATAAATAAGATTATGTACAATTAGGATACTGAGAAAATTATCCATTCCTGTTTGTTGAAGCTAAAATAGCTTTTAACTTCCATTCAAGAAAGTGGTATTTTGATAGGCATGCATTTTTGCAAATTTATTTTATTGATTGTATTTATTTGCATATTTAAATGTGAAATATAAGCAGAGTATAATCATTAGTATAATTTATAGTAGGTATGATATGTGTATAAAAAGTATGAATAAAAGGTACAATAAAATCGCCTGTAAACTGGTACAGTTTTGTAGTTTATAACTTAATATTAAGTGGATTGTTCTTTAGAAAGTTTTCAAAAGTATGTCATAGTAAACTTTCCCCTCAGTTACAGAAACGAGGCACTTTAATCCTTTTGGATTTAAAAAAAAAAAAAAAGAGGTTCTACTTAATGTCCACTGCATCACATCTGGTTAATTCTTTTTTAAAACATTTTTAAGTGACATGAGAATTACTTCACACAAGTAATAACATTTAGTAAAATTAATATTTTCAGCACCAACAGGCCAGAGGAAAAAATTCCACCGATTATGTTGTAATCATGTTAATATACTGCCATAACTTTCTCATTGCTTTATAATAAAACAGAATTTCGTAGTTATATTCATCCAATTTTTCTGGTAAGGCAGCCTCAAATATTAAGTAATACATCAAGCAGTGGTACATATGAATATATACTAATGTAAGGAGTAATTTCAATACAAAAGATGAAAGAACTGTTTTCATAGGATTGTATATTATATCCATATCAGAAGTTAGTAAGCATTTAATATCTTTCCACGTGATTCTACTAATATGCGCAGAAAAGCAGTCTAAGGATATCTCTATTTCCGCATTCTGCTGATTTTTGTTTTTTATCAGAAGTAGTGATGAAATTAATAGTGTAGTCATATATATCACACATATATACACAGTTACATTATATAAACTGTTGTTTTGCTGTTGCTAGTGTCTTCAAAGAAATGCGAGTACCTATATTGATATCAAAATGGCAACTGCATTACCAACAATATGACCTTTCTAGTGATATATAACCCAATTCCATAGGATTCAAATCATGTAGTTTACTAAGTTTATCAAATAATTTTTGAGGTGCTACTATTACTTCTCAAATCCCGCCAGCCATTTATCTCCTTGAGCTGTTTTGCAGATGCTGTCTATAGCTGGTATTAAGAGCAAAATGGTAAATATTTACATAACTTTCATGATAATCTGTAATTTTAAAAATATGTTTTTCAGATTTTGAATGGAGAAACATCAAAAGCTAAAGGTATCTTTCATGAAGCCATACAAAACTGTGGGTGGTCAAAGGTAATTCATTCAATAATATTAAAATATCCACTGAAAAATTGTTTTATTATATTCAAAGTGTTATTGTGGTCTTAGTAGTATTTAATTAAGAATATTTTAGTAAGAAATTTGTGGATGTACATAAAATTTATATTTTCACAATTTTGATTTGATACTTAAGAGTTTCATATATTTATAATTTTCAATACAGCTGATTGTATAGTCTTTCAAAAGAATTTATCTGAAGTTCATGTGAACATTCTGTTTGAAAAGTGTGGTAAAGTATTTTTATCATTCACATCATGTAACTGTCAATCTTATTGTTATTCTCTAATAACCGAGAAAAATTTTTTGATGATGTAATACATTGTACACTGGCAAGAAAAATTAAAGCAAATACTGTGAAAAGGTCCTTTATGTTAATTCTATTAAGTGAAATCCGCTGAAAGGTAGTTGGGTGGTAGCTGAAGTCGAATGTTATCACATAGTAAAATGGGATTCATTTTGGTTGCACAGAAATATGAAAATTTTTACACCCTTTTTTACCATGTGTTGTAAAGAGGGCAGGGATATGCTTTAAATTCTAATTTCAAGGACTGTATGAGTAGTTGAAAAAAAAATGTTTGCATGTGGATTGGATTATTCAATCATGGCAAAGCACACAAGAGCTCTCTGCTTAAAGGAAGGAACGGAGAATAACGGAGAATTTGTTTATTTGCTCTTCTTGTAGCCAGGAGATTGCTGCTGTAAGTTATTTAAGGGGAGGCTTTTTGCCTTGACTGTGTCACTGTAGGAGACTTTTAGGAGATATTACTTGACTGGTTCATTATTAATGTTCATACTCGGGAAATTTTCTTCGTTCATTTCAGGAGCTTTAGGTTCAGGTTTCTGTGTTTTTTTTTTTTTCAAATTGCTTACTGGTAATGTATACAGACAAGCAGATCAATGTTGAAAATGAGCCACAATAGACTCTCAGAACCATTATTTGGCAAGAATTGCTAAAAGAAATAGGCAGCTAATATCAGCACAGATTGCATGGAAATTCGCTGCAGCTACAGGAACTCAATTACAAGTGACAGGCTACAAAAAAGAGGGCTGTATGTAAAAAAACCCCATGCTTTGTGTCCCTTAACTTGGTTGTGAAATATATCCAGTTGCAGTGGTGCAGAGATCATCGTCACTGGAGTAACCTGGACTAGTGCTGAGTTATCATTGTTTCAAGAGTCTCAATTTTATTTTTAGTGATTCCAGATGTGTTGCAACTGAAAAGAAAAACATACACAATATGCCTGAAAACATCCATTAAGAGTATTCGCACAAAGGTGAAATCACAATCATTTTGAATGGCCACACTGACCTGTAAATTTTTATCAATGCAACTATGAATGCTGAAATATACAGAGATGAAGTTCTTGATACTTACATCGATTTTTTTTAAATGTGCAATTAGTGGAAACTTCCTTCTAATGAACATTAATGCTTGTGCCCATTGTTTTTCATTAGTGACCGTTTATCTTGTGGGTGAAGAATTCAGTGGATACTCTGTGGATTTAAATTGGGTAAAACATGTGAGTTATAACATGGAAGTTTTCTTGTCCCACTGTATATCACATTTTCTATGTTCTTATTTAAATTTATTTTTTGCAAAAATAGACAATCTTGCATTTTGTAAATATGTGAAGCATGACAAAATAAAGAACTTGTACAAATTCCATGTTCTTAGCTGTAAAATCATTAAAGTTACACAAGGTTTTATAGTTGTCCCTTTAATTTTTCCTGCCAGTGTAAATTATTACAATGAATATTTATGGTTTTTAATGATATGCAAAAGTTTTTCTGAATTTCAATATACCATTATGTAATTTACGGTAAACTTTTGCCTGAAATTTTATACGAGTTACAACAATCACATCATAGTTCATCTCCTGTAGGATATCAATAAATTTAAAGTTGTTCTACTGAACAAAATGATTTTTCCTCGAACTAAAGGTATATAATTTTAAATCTAAGACATCAGTTAATTTGTTTATTTTTTAATAATTTGATAAGTATAATTTTCGTAAATATGTTACTCACTCCACATTGCTGTCATTAAAAGTGCAGCAAGTGTTGTAAGAAAGAGTACTATCAAACCCGTATTTATTGTACAGATAATGTATTGTCCAGAAATGAAATGACTAAGTTATAGCTCCGTTCAGCCATGGAACATTTAGAGATCATTTGCAGTATAATTACTGTGGACAGTAACAGCTATTGCTGCATTGGTCTGGCATAGAGCAGAAATGGCGTTTGGTATGCCAATCCATATGATTTTAGCATGCTTCTAAATTTGATCTACATAGGTGTGGGTGATCTGGGTATTATCTTAGACCAGATGTGTTCAATAGGTAATAATTCCAGTGAATAGACCAGCAAAGAAATGAAGTAGCATAGCTATTCAGGAATTATTAGACATTATGTTCTGCACATGGTTGTATTCCTGTTAGTAACTGGTCTTAGGCAGGCCCTGAAGGTAAGAGGCAGTAATAAGGTCCAACATTTCTGAGATTTGATGTTAACAATTCAGCATGCTGAGGCTGCATATTAGGTATAAACATAATCCAATTACATGATGCTGAATACCGGACAAGTGGGGCAATGCATAATATGGGATTTGCTCAGCTTGAAGCATGTTACAGCCAAATATGGATATGACTATGATGGTGCTTAAGACAGAAGAGGGATTTGCATGAAAAGATTATGTATGTCATTTGTTCCTCCATCCATGATTTTCTAAGCACTGCCGCAGTTGCAGACATACGTGATACATAATCAGAGGTAATTGAAACAATGAGCAGCATGTTATAAAAATTCCCCATAAATGGCTTCAAACCATGGGTAGAGATTAGTTACTACGTACCATACCCTAATTGAGTTAGAGAGGTATGACTGTGTGATCGATGATAGCTGTGTATGTAAGATGTCTGCCCTGTTGTTTAGTAATGCAAGTGATTGTTGAGATACTTCATATCGGTGAGTTCGATTCTGTATTGACGTCACTGTAACTGAATTCTGTGTAGTGTGACAAATAATTTCATAGAACACGTCATCTTTACATGTCACATTCTCCTGCAGTCAAAATTAAGAATCTTCTGATACAGCTGCCTTATTCTTCCACAAGACAGAACTTAAACCATCTGTCCACAAAAATGACAAAGAAAATTTTAATTAATAGCTGCTGTTTGTTTTCCCATCTTGTAGTAAACCTTGACGTACATGGTGATGACAATATAGTCATATTCTCTCCTTTTCTAAAGTAGTGTACCTGAACATGTTCAGTCATGTGTATAGTCAGGCTTCTTAGGAAAAACTCCTCTATCTACACCTAAAGCAGTTAAATATGTTTTCATTTACTGTGTAAACCTCATGAGTATGCATCCTGCCATGGCTTTAGAGATGATAATTATTTAGAAGGGGGCAGGGGGATATAAATTTTCAAATTTTTCACCTGTTATATGTTTTATCTTGTGTAATGTTTGACATTATTAATAAAATTGATATACTGAATATACATTCATTTCCAAAAAAAATTGCGTGCCAAGAAATAATTGTGGGATTGTAGCGAAAGCGTTACTTGGCATGAAGGTACATGTGGGGTAAGCAGAGCTTGTTTGAGTGTACTTAATCTTTTGCTAAGGAAACGCTGAGGTAGACATGCCATTACGCTGCCATCGAAGCAAGTATCAGCAGCTGTCAGAGTTCAAGAGAGAAGGAATCATCGGGATGATGGAAACTGGGCGGTCAGCTCGGTGAGTAGCTCATCAGGTAGGCCATTCAGATTTTACTGTGAGGAGGTGTTGAAACCAGTGGACAGAAAAGACGTCATTAACATGGTGACCAGACTCAGGACGCCCTCGACATACACAGGCAGCAGCTTCATTACGGGACCCTGTGTCTTTCTGAACCATCGCAAGGCACCTGGTTGAAAGATATCTGGTATCGCAGTGCCCATTACATGTGCAGCCAATGACACCCACCGACCGATGCCTCCATTTGGAGTGATGTCTCCCACGACAGTATTGGACTTTAGCGGAATGGAACCAGGTCGTTTTCAGCGAGGAATCTAGATTCAATTTGACCAGTGATGACAATCATGTTAGTGTGTGAAGGCCCCATGGTGAATGCCTCAATCCTTCGCTTGACAGCAACACACCGTTCCCACAGTTGGTGTGATGGTATGGAGTGCCATTGCTTATGATACATGGTCACCCCTAATATTGATCCATGGCACAATTACAGGCCAGTGGTACATTCCATGACATCCTTCAGCCACATGTGTTACCACTCATGGCCTGTTTTCAACAAGACAGTGCTCGGCCACACGCAACACAGATCTCACAAGACTGCCACCGCCAAATTAACACCCTTACCTCACTTGCTCTATTCCCAGATTTGTCACCAATCGAGCATATCTAGGATCATTTCGTATGGCAGGTTAGACAGTCTATGAGATTGGCCGAACTAGAGGCGTGTTTACAGCAATTTTGGAACGAGATGTCTCAGGACACCATACGGAACTTGTATTGCCTCAATGCCCGCTCATATCGCATCATGCATTCGCGCTAGAGGTGGTCCAACAGTATACTAAAACTTACGTTCATGTGTACTTTGTTCTGCAATAAATTGTAATTTTTTCTTTGATTTTCTAATCACTTACTTATATCAAAGTAATACTTACATATGTAAAATTTCGTTTCATTCTGACAACTCTTTCTTAGTGTGCAAATTTTTATGGCAATGAGTGTATTTCAACCTGTGGTATTACCTTCTGAAATTAGGAACAAATAAATACTTTTTATATATATATATATATATATATATATATATATAAGCATTATTTTGTATTTATGTATGTCATAAATTTAACTAAATAATATGTACTGAAAAATTTGTAGGTAAATAAAATTTAAATTGGTGTGAAGACGTTTATAATGCAAATATTCTAAAAAATTAACATGTTTCCTGTCAATTGCATGATGAGACCTAAAATGCTAATATCATCTAATAACCAGTAACATCCCAGTGCATTATGAGACTTATGTTTTCACATTCTGGTGAAGCTTCAGATATCTACCTTGGCAGTGAATGTGTTAATAACTGCATGTTATACAATTTAGTCAAGTTATATATCTACTACAATGTGTATGCAGTCTAGTTTTTACGAGGGTTGGAACTTTAATAGTGGCAACACAGCTGAAAAAACGCTATGCAACAAAACCAAAGAATATCGCACGTGAACTACATACCTACCTTACCTCTCAGCAAAAAGACTCGTCCTGCCTACGTCACACACATGCGGAGTGACACAAAGAACGGATCCTTGTATTAGCTCGCGGTCTAAAGTAAGTCTTGTCAGGATGTTTTCAAAACAAGAACAACGATGTTGGATAAAAATTTAATGTACCAGAGGTCGTACAGCACGACAGTGTCATCAAGGGCTTCAAGAGGCTTGCGGGGAATCTGCATTGCCTTACAGAACCGTAGCAAGATGGGTGAAAACATTCAATGAATGACGCCAAAACGTGGCAGACATGCTGCCGCCAGGTCATCCGAGTGTCAGTGATGCAGACGTGCAAGCTTTTACCGCACTAATGGACAGTCATCGCTGCCAAACGATTCGTCAGCTGGCCAGACAAACAGGATTAATGCATACGACTGTGCTGCACATTCTGAAGGAACGCCTGTCCATGTGAAAAATTGCTTCACGATGGGTTCCACATCAATTGACAGAAATGCAGAAATGGCTACAATGCGATACTGCCCGAACCCATCTGGAACGCTATGAGCGTGAAGGAGATGCTTTTTTACGCCGTATCATTACGCTGGATGAGACTTGGGCCCGACCGTACCAGCCAGAACTGAAACACCAATCAAATGAATGGCATCATCACGGGTCACCACGACGTTCGAAATTTCGTCACAACCCCAGCTATGTGAAAGTTATGGTGATTCTCATGTACGACTGTGATGTTGTCATCCTAACGCATACCGTTCCCCCACAGCAGATCGTCACTGCGCAGTATTACTGCTCATTTTTGGAGCACAATCTCCGACCAGCGTTGAGAAAAAAACGGCGACACTTTCTGCAGAACGCTCCTCTCATTTTGCATGACAATGCTCGGCCACATGCAGCGCAAGCTGTGACTGATTTGTTCAAGCGATGGGGCTGGGAAGTGCATTACCATCCACCATACTCCCCAGATCTAAGCCCTTGTGACTATGACTTAATTCCTAAGATGAAGGAAACTGTTCCTCCTCACTTCCAAACTGTTCCTGAGATTCTTGCGGCAGTAGACCGGTCCATTCAAACTATCAACAAAACAGGCACTGCTACAGGTATTCTGCGACTTCCACATCATTGGAAATGAGTTGTATACAATGCTGGCGACTATATTGAAGGACTGTAAAACATGGTGACATGAATCACTTTTGTATTCCTTGTAAATAAATAGTTGCCACTATTAAAGTTCCAACCCTCGTAATTAGTGCAAGAGTGTTGAAATTCTATCAGCAGTATACATAAATACAAATATTTTCTTTTTTAATCTTCTATGTTAATAATTACAGCAAGCTAAATAATCTTTGAAAATTGTTCATGTAGAGTAATGAATTATTTATACAGTGTAAAAGTTCCTTTTTTATATAATAACCTAAGATGCAATTTTATATAACATACATATAAATTTGAATCAAAACTCCAAACTAATGTTTGCCTTTCTCTTCTAGGAATTATTAATGGATGGAATCAAGTATTTTCCTGAAGATGTACAGCAAATAATAGATTTTATGATTGAAAAACAAATCCGTATTCATACCCCATTAGAAGAAGTGACACTTCTTATGGAACATGGTATCCAAGAAACTTAATTGCATTATTCATTTTCTAACAGTTACGTCTGTGGAATTATTTTAAATACACCTGATCTTTTTGCTCACTGTTTCATTCTAAACATGCCATTGAACTTTTTTCTGTGTATATAAAGAAAATTAAATACATATATGTTTTATAATTTTGTTCATAAAATGTGTTTTTCTTTAAAAAATATTCATTTCATAGAAACATAACCATATTGTTTCTAACCTTTCTACATGGAATTCTGTACATTCAAGCAAATTTTTCAATTTATTCACATGTATATAACATAAATATTAGATATTTTACCATGGAAAGTTCTCTAGAGAAGCATTTTTTATTAGTATTTTCACAACAAAATTTTATTATACAATAGATTGTTTAATAAAAGTATAAATATAAAGAGAATTAGCCCATTTATTTGTTATTGCTTATCAACAATCTTCTATCCTGGTATTTATTGCTCTTCTATCCTTTTCTTAATGTAATGTATTTGTTAATAAATTAAAGTAAGCAATAAAATTTTTTGCAGAAATTGGCTGTTATCATAAACAAATTACTCTTATTAAGACACAATAACACGCCAAGTAAATACTAATTCAGAAGTCAAACAACAAAAATCTGCGTTATATTTTCAAATTTTCACAGGACTTCATCAACAGATGGCGCCACTAGCTTATTTTCTGACCAAGCTTTCGTATCTTATCTGATCATTATATCCTATCTCGCGCTTTTGCAGCTGACGATGGTGGTTCGGTAAAACCATCACTCTTATATTAAGATATTCCAACTGAACATAGTCTTAAGTGAAGATCTGCATAAACATATGATGATATATATATAAACAATTTAATAAATCATAATAAATTGCCTAATTTTAAACATTAAATTAAAAATGAAAATGCAATCAATAAACCAAGTAATTATCGCCATTGACCCGAAATTAGTTGACTTTTCAAGGGGAACAAACTAACTTCTGATCAATTAACATATTCTGATTAATAAATAACATATTCTGATTCTCATGTACGACATAAATTAACATATTCTGATTAATAAATGCAAAAGTGTTTCATCTTTTCTCAATTATGACAAAAACGCTTTTTAGTAAGACAAGTTAAGTAAGTTGAGTTTAAGTAAAATTGCTAATTAGAATTCAGTTATTAATTGGCTGTATAAATTTTAAAATCAATCTTAAAATCGAGATATATTCTTATAAGAGTGAGTTTGACTTGAGAAAATTGTCCCTCGACACTTTTGCCTTTAATCGTAGTAATTCAATGCAAACTTTGCAAAATTAATGAATACAATGCAATCTTTGTAAAAGCAATTAAACAAGGAAGAAAAGTTGAATAAAAAGAAAATATTAAAAATGTATGAAATGGAAATTTACATAATATGCATTAAAGGCCAGAAGCTGAATTAATTAACTTATGTGTTTGATAGCTGTTATAGAGATACATGTCCATTACTTTCTTCGTACTTATACATATATATATACTAATATTTCATCATATGTTTATGCCTTTCATATATTAAATCTAACAAAAGAACTTTAAACATATATATATACAACAGTAACTTATTTGTTGACATTTTTAATGGAAAAATAAATAATGGGACTATTCTCTTGATGTTAAATAATTTGATACCCAACAACAAATTTATTACAAACAGATGACATTTCTCAGCCTATGTTTAAATTTTAGGTTACCAGCCTACTTAACCAAAGTTCAACCAAACCAGAGGAGACCCTAATTATCAAGAAGAGAGAGAGACTAATATGAAGTTAGAAGTATGCTAATGACACATAAAATGTACATTTTTCTCGGCATAAATAAGCAAACAAAAAGAACAGTGGCCTAAAAAATTTAATGATGGATCATGTAATACCTCTAAAGTATACCACTGATTGATTATTATATAGTGATTTACAAATCTTTATTATTTCTACACAAAAAATTTTAATCATATGACAGCTTTATATTTATTATATATTTCTCAGGTATTTAATTTTTTTCAAATTCTTTTATATGGCTTCAAGAAACGAAATGCCCAACATTTCTAAAAGAAATATACAATTCAATTTTCAGAATCCCCTTATCTTCCTTAAAAAATTTTAAATCTTACATGCAACTACTTAGCTACTAAATCTATAATAACATTAATACCATAATTACTTTCCAAGAAATTCGGATGAAAATATCTTGGTATTTTACATATTAAAATACGTCATATAGGATGGCATGTATTTGCAGTTTTAGTTCTCTATGCCATAATATAATGAGATAGGAGCAACATAGATAATAAGTGTATAAGGAAGAAAAATATACAGTATTTTTATACAACTTCTAATTTTTTTTTTTTTTTTATATATATATATATATATATATATGTTTACTCTTCCATTTCACAAAAGATGGACACTTTAAAAATTAGTAATCTAATTCAGTAATGCTTGCTCCAGTGTTGCATGTTCACCGAGTGACAACCTTAGTGATAATGAGTTGTTTCTGATTCTTACACATCAGAGAATAAAGGGCATGCCATAGATATTTGATTAACATTTCTGATTTTCTCCAGTTTTGAGAATATTACATATCAGGGTCCATATACATTTCTGTACATGGAAATTAAGTACATTTAAAGACAATTAACAAAAAAAATTAAAGACCTGTCAGCAAATGGGAACTCAATAAATTTAATTTAAGATATTAATTATGCCTGAAGTTCACTTTTGTAATACCATCCTAAGAATAAAATAGATCCGTAAATAGAATGCATTATTATTAAACATAATTATAAACAAATTTGAGAAGAAAATCAGTTTATTAAAATTTATCAAGTACCATTAAATATTTTACACTTATGATAGTTGGTCACATTTGAAAGAAGATTAGTGACATTTTATTTATGTTTTACTAACAAGTTAGCTTTATGCTACTGTTTTCTTTTATGTCTCGTTTCATCACATATTTGTTCAGTCTAGAGATTTAGTAAACAGCAGGTAGATTTTATATCAAACGGTTTAGGTTAAAATGATAATTAAAATCATAATCAGCATGATTTGTAACAGAAGATTCGCTATTGCCACTGCTGTTGCTTGCCTAGAGACAAACCTGCTGATCAGAACAAGTGTGAAAGCCTGATGTAAGCACGGTTGGCAAGTTTTGAAAGTTAGTTGTGCTGTGTCTCTCTGACGCAATTAACCCTTTCAGGACGGGCGTCCCATATACTCATTCCCTAAGAACGTCTCTTACAGCCGGGCGTCCCATCGACGCATCAGTAAAGATCGCATTCAGAGGACGGGTGATGCGTATACACATTTTAAGGTGGAATGATCTTCTGAAGGCCACTAGATGGCATCCTGTGTCCATTACTTTTGAAATGAACACAGTTTTAGGTTCCTGAGCTTGATTTTGATATATTCTGCTTGACTTTGGTATTTTACTCATCAGCTGTTCGAGGGGGGGGCGGAGGGAAAGCGTAAACAGAGGTGGGCTCTTTAAATCACTGCGTGCTAATGAAAACATAAACATTCTCGTATCTGATTTATATCCAATTCCTTTTTTTATTCTATTTTTTCTTCTACTATGTACGGTCTTTTAGGGTTACTGTGCGGAGTTTTTTTATGTTTAGCATTGCCTTCAGATATATTTCCGTTCCTTCTTTTTATTTAGGAAAACCTCACCTCCAGTCTATTATGGCAGAAACGCGCTATTTATCTGAGGAAGAATACCCTCGTATGGTTAGTGAACCATTTACTAATGCAAATGAGAATACTGATTCATTTTCTAAAGAGTTAAAAAGTGATACTTTTTCTAAGAGTTACAAAGTGATACTTCTTTGTGCTTCGAGATTTACTACACTCGTTTTCATTTTAAATTTTGTTACTTCTTACTGTAAATAGTCTTTATTGTGTTCTTTTTATTAATTTAAAACTTTATTGATGGATTTTATCAATTAAAACTGGAATAATTTGAATAGTGCTTCCGAAAATTATTTTAGAAGAAAAGCAATTTTTTAAGTATATTTTCATGTAAAATAAAGAAAAGAATGTTTTAAGGGCTAATTTTAACATATATAAAAGCTCAAGTAATAATCTAAAATAATACCAAAAATTACGATGCTAGAAGTGAAACTTTTATTTTTCTGATTTTGTTATAAAATTAGGCTTAGCGATGCAAAACCTCCGTCCTGTACGGTGACTGCCTTCGATTCTCTTCCGTCCCACACGAGCGTCTTAAACAAAGATGCGCCGTTGCGAAAAGGTTAAGTATCATATCTTCGTAGGGTTCCTAGGGTTGTTGTAACCCAGTTAATGTACTCTAAAATTCCAATAAGCCACTAAAGCACCAGAAGTGATAAGCTGTTTTTTTATTATTTTAAGTCTCACTAGATGCAAAGAATAAGTTTTACATTAATTTTTATATTTTTGTGCTGTATCTTGTGACCACAATAAGAATTAATGAAAGGAATAACTCACTTTAACATGCAGAGATAACTTTTAAGGATGAGCAGTTAGTTACAAATAATTAAATTAGATTGTTAGATACCCTTAATCGTTATAGATTGGCATGGCCACTATAGAATTTTATTTCTTAAAAAAGCTTTTTTAAAATCGCAATCTAATAATATTTCATAGTTTATATGTAATTTATGACACTGATTCTTAAACGATATTAAGATTAAACATTAGAAGTTGTTACAACAACACTCAACAAAATATTTACGCATCTTTTTAACTTGAAGCCTTACCAGATATTTTGGCTAATTTATATCAATTTCCTTCTCTTTAAGCATTTTTCTAACAATTAGAAATTTGTTTCAATACACAAATCAGTGTTCCCACTAATTTCTGCATGTTTTATCTCCTAACTTGTGAATTTCTCAACAGTGTACATGTAAAGTTTTACTTGATCTGGCAAAAGTTAAATAGTCCAAAATCCCTGACAGACATGAAGGAAATTATCACTATGTCTGATAGTAACTACAAAGTCAGATAAAGGTTTAAATAAGCCTCTTATTTAAAAAGAAATTAGAACATAAAGGCATGTTTTTATGCTAGCAAAATCAACCAAACCTTCTGGTGATGTAATTAAACAGGAACAGTCAAATTCAAATTAAAAATGTGGAGTAGTAGTTAAAGACTACACA